CTTTCGCTGACTCTTCATCCTTGGCTCGACATAGAAGAGTTCATACTGGGAAAAGACCCTACAAGTGCTCAGTGAATGGATGTTGTAAGACGTGAGCATGATTTGGTTACACCAAGCTCCTATTGAAAGTTGACATTCCTTCACTGTCTCTTACCTCAGCTTTTGTCGTAAGACTACCTTGACGAAACATATCAAGCGAAACCATGGTACCAGCGCGCTTGCTTTCTCGGTCGGTTATATGAATGAGACCACCGAAAGGTGTTTTGGGTTGGGAAATAGCACTGATGAAGACGAAAAACCGATCCTGATGTCTTCATCTTGGTATGGTCCCATTCAACCAACCGAAAGTCAAAGCACAACACCGTCTCCCGATAGTTTCCCATCACCTTCTTCCGAAATCCTTTCTACTACCGATTCTCGCCCTCGAGATTTTGAAAAGACCAAGACTTTTCACTTGTCCCGTCACCCCGCTCATTTTAGTGAGACACCATCACCTTTCTTCGATCGATCGGTAGAGCAAAATACATCTTCAGTTCCATTCTCTACAAGGCAACCACCACCTCCTGAGACCAACGCCGAAGAAAGACTTGGAAATATCACCCACAACCTTCATCATTCCAGTCGGCTTTCAAGTCCACATGCCTTTACTGAACCCTTTGTCACAAATCTGACTCATCATTCCGAACATACATCCCCTTCGAATCACCATCATCATCATTTAGAAAACGCGCTTGGTGATCATTTACAGTCATTTCTTAGCTTTCCACAAGTTAGACATTTGATTCCTGAAACTGATCAACTCGACTCGAAAAATGAACTGTATTCTTCAAATCGTAGAATGTCATCTTTCTCTGAAGGTAGTCTTCAACTTGAACATAATTCTCATCATCACAACGTATATCTAGATTCAAACTCTATCAGACGAGAGACTGGTGAAATGATTCAAGATTTACAAGGTTATCCTATCTTGAATTGGCCACACAAACATGTACCTGTGACAGAAGTTGATGGTTTGATGAATATGACCTCATCATTAATTCCGATATCGGCATCCAATAGGATTTTATGTAACAATAATAATAATGATCATGATCAATGTCGATATTTAAGGTCACTTGAATCTGATCATCCAACTGAAAACAATTTATATCAACTTGGTTCAATTTATCAAGATGATTCTAATCATAATTCATTCTCAGAATCTTATCGTTCGATTTTAGGATCGACCAATTCTTTATACGGAATTAATCATTCACCTATCATCACATTCAATCCAATCTATAATCATCATAATACAACGAATGAATGAAATTGAACGAGATTGAATATCATTATTATTAAAATTATCATCATCATCACCATCACCATCATCATCAGCAGCAGCACCACCACCATCATCATCATTATCATATTTCTAATCCTCATAATTATCATATTCATAATCATTATAATATTTTTTCTTTGTTTTCTTTCTTTTTTTTTTTTTTGAAAATTCATTTCAATTCATCAAGATATTTTAACTTTACTTCAAAAACAAAAAAACAAATCAAAAAATTGAAAAAATCGAAAAAAAAAAAAAAAAAGTTTGAATTGATATTACTAATCACATTTTTTTTTATAATGTTATAATTTGATTTGAATATACCCAAAATATATAAATATATGTGTATATATATATATATATATATATATAGTATACATTTAATAGCATAGATTTCATATCATTTACATTGTTTTCAATTTTTGTTTTTTTCTTTCCATTTGTCTTTTTTTTTTTCAATAAAAATAAAATAAAAGAAAAGTTGCAATAGATCATTCATTTTGATTTTGATCATTATGTTATTATAAATTTGTAATTCTTTTTTTTTTTTTTTTTGAATTTAAAACTTATGGTTACATTTGACTTACAGAAGAATTCTGAAAGTATTTATTATATAGTATATATATATATATATATATATATATAAGTGAGATTATTTAATTAATTTATCTCCTTTATATATATATATATATATTTGGTAAAGGGAGGGAAAGATTGAGTTCCAAGAAATATATATAATGTATGTATATAAATGAAAAGAAGACGAAGAAGAAAACAAAAAATTGAATGAATGCATGAATGAATAAAGTGTTTATAGTTTATAATTTTTATATATATATACATATACATAATTCAAATTTATATTTGTTTATCAGATCAATAATAAATTGTTATTCAGTTTTTTTGTTTTTTTTTGTTTTCTTGAAAAAAAAAATAAAATAAAATCAATCAATCCATGATAGTTGTCCAAAAGTATTCAAGCCCGGTAAGTGAGAATATATTAATAATAAAATCCATACGTTACATCTCAGATCAAAGATAAATAAACCAAACCCATGATACTTGTTTACCAATATATCGATGGTTCAGGTGTCAATACTCAAATACTCAAAAGTGAGTTTGATTGTACATAAATAACTAATTATTAAACCGTTTATTTTTCTCTAGCTCATTTTCGATATTCATCATATGGTATGTATAGAGTACACAGTATATTAAATGAAGAGATACTGGTTGGATAATCCACTGAGTGATAAGTGAAAGGGCCCTGATTATAAATGGTTACCCTGACCTAATACTTTTAATTTGGGACTACAAGTTTGAAGATGTCTGTACAAGGAAAATTGTTACGGTATGAGGTTAATAACTGAATTTTCGATATTTGATCACTCAATTACCATTCAAGTTGTTGTGATCAAAATTAAAAATTAAATTGATTAAAGTTATCCTAAAAAAAAAAAAAAAAAATTGCAATTACATTACACTTGGTGTCATCCTCCTCAACATCAACTCTTGATTAGCGTATTTACAAGTTTCAAACATCTTGACTCCTTCTCCCACATATCAATTTTCTATAATAATATCCTTAGATTTCAAAAAAAAAAAAAAAAAAAAAAAAAAAAAACAAGGGTGATTTCCTGAGCTTTTCACCCTGTCCATATGAAGGTGACTCGTCAATGAGAGCACATGGTGTCATGTTTGAAATCACCTCAAAATCCCTCTCAAATCCAGTGCCTTAGTGTCTGGGGGGTGGTGGTCCAAGGGCTCAAGCCCACCCTTGTTACTCATGTCCATTCAATACAAGTCACTGATCCATGTTCATCATGATGTCAGTTCATGAACGTCAGTACGATTGTGAACCGTGCAGTGATACATAGGCATACAGTACACACCTTTCAGCGCATGGTGCATTGAGTGAAAAGAAAAGGAAGTTATTTTGCATAAAGGGAAAGCTCATGTGCTGGCTCTGGGTGAAAAACCAGAACAACCAGAGAACTAAAAAAGTTCTTCGTCTGCTCTCGTCGACAAGTCACCTTGATACAGACAGGGTGTTTAGCCTCTAATGAAATGTACTGGAGAAAACGTATACACCCCTAATCACACAAGACTTTGGATTAGAATCTCTTACATTGTCAATCAGAATTTTTTTTTTTTGTAATTGTTTTTTTTTTTTTTTTTTTAATTGTAAAATCTCAACATCAAATGTAGGACTCAAGAATCTCATATCTGTAAACCAAAAAAAAAAAAAAAAAAAAAAAAAAAAAAAAAGGGGGGGGGGGGAACGGTGTACTGTATGGTATTACTTAGGTGAGGAATAGGCAAAGGTAAGACAAATCTGATGTGTAAGATTGTACGCCATAAATCTGTTGAAGGTCTTTTAAAGCTTCAAAATACATGGTTTCAGTACCGAGTGTATCTGGTCAAGTTCTTTTATAGAGTAAGGACCTATCATATTGCAGTAAATCTCAGTGCTCAATCAAATATGGAGATTCAAATCAGGTTCAAAACCGAAACAGTGGTCATACATATCCTTCTATGAAGTCGATCAGATTTGATATCCAGTGATCTGAGTCTCGTAGTTCAGACAAGCGGTTCATCAAGAAAAGAAAGGTAGTCATGTTAGCTAAACTTTTGGAATATCACTCATGTGGATCACATGATATTGATGCGGCCACTCTTTATAATATCGAGCAATTTTTTTTGGATTCAGTTTCCTTGTAGCGGTCAAGAGTTTGATATTGCAGTTGCTCAAGGCCATCGTAAGCAGACCTCTACCTTGATACACTTTTAAGGACTAGTAATGGCTTTCCTGATCATCATGAAATAGGAATTATCTGCCACTCTCAGGAGCGTGTTTCTGCATGATGTTAAAGTTCTTGGTTTACCCGCCCAACCTCTCATAAGGATTCCGACGATTTCCAACGGCGAAAAAACTCATGTTTGTGTACTGTTGATATCCAGGCATGAAAATTTTTCATGGTCCCACACAACGTTGGCTAGGGTGACGTTAAGGGGTCTACATTTACTACAGATGGGCGTAGAGAGACAATCTTTTGGGCTACTTTCCTTCTTTGGGTAAGTATGGAGAATCGTGACTAGCTTTACATCGTGTTCGTTTAGTAAGGCAAGGCTTCAGGGAGCCAGACGATTAAGAAGATTAATGTAGACACGCTAGTCAAAATTTTGAGATGAGAAAAAATGATGTCTCCAATAAAAAAAAAAAAAAGAAAGAAAGAAAGAAAGAAAAAGAAATAAAGGAAACCATGCTCATTATGATTATGGTTGTTTGAATGTTATATTGTTTTATGAGCTCGCGAAAGTGTTGAGTTGAATTTGAACCAGCTGGGATTAGCTTCCCAGGATTGGAGCCCAAGTTGGACAGAGGTCTGTACCGTGATAGGGATGTAAACCCAAGAGATCAGTTTTACGGAATTGTCAAAAGAAATCAAAAATTTGAATTTAATTTGAATTTATCAAAACTCAGGCTGTCAGTCCACATAAGCTCTCCTCTGACTTTTTGCATGGGATTATCAAAGTTACACAAATCTGAAGCTCAGACTTTTAAAGTGCACACAGATCTTACAAAAATTCCGAGGACTCAAAATCGTGTCAGGCTTTCTCGGCCGAAACAAACACCAGTCACTCGGAGGGAGAATTGGCAAAAGTTCACCAAAACAAACGTCACCGGACAGGATTGAACTGTCAACCTCCTGATACAGCCAATTCATAACAGTCAGACGCGCTAACCAATTGCGCCACGGAGACTACCATTGTGGATAAATCGATGTCATATAGTCACGTGCGTCAGTTGAACGTTTCACACGGTGTGAAACGACAGCTGTACGGTACACACCTAAAACCTGCATGCGACAGGTTACATCCGGCTGCAACAGCTAGTCGTTGTCTGCGACATCTGCTAATCCCAAGCCACATTCGCTCATATGCGCTCTCCTGAACCCTCCTGAAGAGGGACATATACTCACACATTGTGGGATCTCGAGTCAAAAGGCTACCAGAAACTGAGTAGGTAAAAGGAATACTAGACTAAAGAACTAATAAACTTCAAAACGGAGCTAACCAGCCTACTCTAAAATATAATGCTGGGCTTTAAAGAAAAAAGTTAAATTGAAAAAGGGATTTCTAAAGCAATAGAAATGATGAAAAAATAAAATAAACTGATGCTCCCTATGGAGACTTGTAACTGACAATAACTGCCTTTATCTAAACTAAATAAACTTCTCTATCTTCAGAGAATTATCTTAAGCAACCAAACAGAAGACAATCACTCCACAGTGCTGGACTATTATAATGTTATAGGACACCAGGATAAAGAGCTGAACAGTGGACAGGTGTCACTCAAAGACTTCATAGCCAACGGAAACTGCAACAGCCTGTCGCAACAAATTTTGCGACAGCTTGTTGTACGTGGTGTATAGGGTACCATCACATCCATATAAAATCACTCAGAATCGCTTTTGTTGTTCTTGAGTCCTGGCTAGCCCCCAACTAGACTAATAAGCTGAAGTCCCGAATATGAGGTGCTGTTTCCAAAAAAACAGAACTCATTTGAATGTAGTTTGTATTTTTGCTGTGTAAAAACTCACTCTAAAAATAATAAAGCACCAAGTTTATTTTGACCAAAACTCTGTCATGTGAAAAGGCTACTATGAATGTAGTTGTGAAGTGAAAAAAAAAATCTGTGTAGTGGAACCCTTTCACAAGACCTGGTCATGATCCAGCCCATAGTGTCTCAGGCTTTGATAAAAACCTTATGGGGATGAAGGTTGAGCAAACTCTTGAAGGCATCCAAAGTTAGATTAAGAGCTTGACATAGTGACCAAGTCAACTCTATTCTGCAAAATTGAAAACTTGTCTGAATTGGAGTTACTGAGCCGTGCCCCGTGATCCGACCCGCGATGGTGACACGCTATCCGAAAGCTTCTTATCGTTCACTTTCTATAAAATATTCCATTCACATCGATTACAGTACCAGCTCATCCCTCCATCACCATGTCCGGAAGGTAGGTTGGTCCCATGGTATCAGTCCTTCCTCATCTCACTGCAATGTGGCCGGAATACTGACCATGCTCTCTGCTTCAACCTGATGGCAGGCCCCATATCTCAAGAACTTATGGAGCTAAAGTTAGTCTTTCAAGTCACTCCGCCCCAGGAAAAGAAACCTGATAAACCTCACTGTTCTTGGAAATTTCGCCTGTAGCTCGCACGTCGTTCAAACTATGCGTCTTTCCATTCATCTGAAGTGACCCTCAAATCGCCTCCAAAGTCTGCCGCCTGTGGATCAACGTCTCTTACGAGTCTTGATAATGCGTCAGAGCAAACGTGGAGCCGAGTGACGCGTGTCCCTGTACCCCAACCCGCTCCCTCTCACTCTATATCTGGCCACGGTGTCCTTGCCCAGTTGGATACCAACTCTACGGCCGTTGAACTCTCCGACACGACTGTGCACAGCTCCGATCGCGAAACACACAGCGAACCGGAAATGGGTTCGGAGGATTCGGAGCAGGTAATTATTTTGCCCAAGGCCAGCTCTTCTACTTCTCGGGATGATGCAGCCAACACTCGCCGAAATCAACGGGCAACCTATGGAACACGTCATATTTCCAAACCGGCTGGGCACTTGAACGCCGCCGCCGATTTGCCGCCGCCCCGCGCCACAAGGCGAAGGACGGATCGCAGCCGCATAATGGTCCATAGAGGAACCGAGTCCGATCAATTATCAAAACGTAACGGCCAGGCCGCACAACTTTCGCAACCAGTTGCTCCCAAGTCTGATCGCGGGAATAGTAGTGACTGGGAACAGGATTGGGAAAGTGAAGTCGAAGTCCCATCTGTAATCGACCTCACAGCAGATACACCTAATTCACATCTAACCACCCATCAGCAAACGCGAAAATCTTATAGAACTCGTCAATATAGCAAGACTATGGCATGCTCGAATGTACCTGTTGATTCGTCTGAGCTGCCTGCTCGAAGACGACAAAGAAAAACAAAACATGTGGTCATCGAGAGTAGCTCGGACTCTGACAATATCGGACCATCCACTTCTAATAAAGCACTTCATTCCAGCCAACCTGATGTCATCAAACATCCTGACGGTGCAAGCGACCCATTCACATCGGAACTCAACTCGAAGGTCTATAAAGAGAATAGAGATGAGGGTGGATCTGGCGCGCCTAGCAGAAGGAGAATCACTGCAAAGCACGACGACCCAGAACTTGAGAGACCGGTTCCCCTTCATCATTCGCTGGTTGCGAGATTCCCTGGTAATTCGAGATCAATTCACACGGGTCCTTCACAATCCTCTAATCAGATCACTCACAAGAAGGTCAGGGTCAGTCAAGCGGTCGCTCATGAACTCGGTGATGCCTCATCGCAAAATATCCCAACCGCCTTCAAGTCAACTGTGACCGCACCCGTGGTTGTGATTCCCAAGCTTTCAACTCCCAAACTTCAGCGTGTGTCTAAATCCTTCAAACGCAACATATCGCCCGTATGCAAGCCCTACGGGCGTTCACCCATCGCACTCTCACCTATGCTCAAGATCAATGGGATTCCTTTGGTCTTGGGTGCACGACATGCCCGAAAGATTCGTGGAAGACTGTCTCTAGCCACCAGCTCGGCCAGAAGAGACAAATCACGTATCTTTCCAACTCAGCCACCCATCGTTTATGAGCCAACTGGAGTGGACGACTCGCCTAGTGTTTCTCGAATGAGCCTATTAGACCCATCGAAAGCCAACTTTTGCAGCGTTCACCACGATTCTCCATCACAATGGGCGAGGTCAAACGTAGGTATCTCACTCACTGTAGCATCTCCTCCCAAACGGAAGAGTGAAGCACCACTCGGCGGTCGTCGTCCCCATACCCGCTCGCCACGTAAACGTGGCTCAAGTCCCGCGAAGCGTGCTCTTTCATCAAGTATCATTCAAGAATTGTCTGGCTTACTACACACATGCGGTCAATCTATCATACACGAGTTTAACAACATCGTAACCAACCCACCTCCCTCAGTCTTCGGCAATGACGCAGAATATAAACGCGTAGCAGAAGGTCGTTGGACCAAAATCGCGGAGGCAACATTTTCTGAGGTCTTTAGTTGGACCCCTTCCTCGGTTTCTCTCGAACCTTCTGGTTCAAAACTCGTAGAACCCGAAAAATTGAATAATGCCTTCGTAATGAAAGTGGTGCCAATCAAAAGATCCAACAAGAGCCATCAATTACAGACAATGACTCGGGTTGTGGATCAGAATGATGATGTAACTGAATCGGAGGCTGACGAGTTTCCTTGTGAGACGGAATGGGCGGATGCTGAAAAGGAGATCAAGCTGGCCCGGCTACTTGGGTCTGCATCCGCAAAAGGCTTTATCAACTTCCGGGGGTATGTTTTTACCCCCCTTTCTATGCTTGTTCTTATTGAAGATCGGGTAGGGTTCCAGATAGCTAAATATCAACTCAATGTATTTCTCATTTTTTGACCGACCCCATCTCTTTACATTTAGGGCTCTCATCGTTTCAGGATCATATCCACCGGTACTACTGAAGGAGTGGAAGAAATATCAGAAACAGTTCCCTGACAAAGTGTACAATCCAAGCCCAGGTGAGCGAGTTTTCCATTGCCCGATGGCACGCGACCCCAACTGCCCACCTTTGTAACGTTGACCGCAATACTGAAATTTATCTGGCCGCTCAAGGTAAGTTCTCCCAGCGACAACTGTTTTGCTGTATTCTGTCTGGTCAAGCTGGCGAAGATCTTGAGAGTTTCGACCTCAGGAACTGGCACGAGGCCGCGAGCGTCTTGTCACAAGTTGCTAACACATTGGGTCGAGCCGAGAGAGATCATGAGTTTGAGGTGATTGTGTTTCTTCAAAGCTTTGGTTCTCAGCAAGTGGCGCGAAGCTGATCAGGTGTTCTTATTTTTGTCTTTACAGCATCGAGACCTTCATTGGGGTAACATTACCATCCAGCGTCACGAGAAAGGACCCAACTCTACCGCGCAAACAAAAGGAAAGGGACGTACAAGAGACGAGCATGTTACCACTGTCGATCTTGTTGGGCTGATGGCCAACACAACTCTTGAATCTGATTCTACTCACGACACCTTGGATCCGTTCAGCCCAACAGCGAGCGAAATCACTGTCACCGTCCTTGACTTTGGCCTTTCACGAGCCAGACTGCGCCTTAGCAAACGTCAGACAGATACGATTTGGACTGAGCCAGATCCTGACATCTTCGGTGGCACGGGAGCGAATGATTACCAATTTGAGTGTTATGATCTGATGAATGCTGCAAGGAACGGTAAAAGTTGGAGTGATTATAACCCATTTAGCAATGTCATTGTCAGTTGTGCTTCCACCTCTTTTTTCTGATCCTCTATTTATCAACCAATCAGATTTCCTGACCGGATTCTAATTTGATTTGGATAGTGGTTACATTATTTATGTCGTAAGCTTCTTGAGGACAAAGGTTTATCACCTCCTCGGCCCACTACCAATGTAGTCAAATCTTCGAGCAGGAAATCACCTGCTGCACTGCACGAACAAACTTGTTTTAAACTCCTTCAGGCTGCCGAAAGGATCCTCTCTGACGCCATTCGAGCCGAGCGTGAGACCAACCGTTGTCGAGCACGGGCGTCGACGAGAAGGACAACAACAACAACTGATTTGGTGATGATTAGATCTGCTGAGACATTTTTGGATTGGTGGAATGTTGAACGAGTTCTTTTGGATTAAGAGCTTGTGTGACGTT